CCACTGTAACTGGAAGCTCCATTTGACATTGTCACTAGAATCTATCGGTATCAAACCTATCCTTTCATTAATTTGTCTGATTCTTAAACAGAACCCTCTATATCAGTGGTCCCCAACCTTGGGCCTCCAGATGTTCTTGGACTTCAACTCCCAGAAACCCTGCCCAGCAGAGGTGGTGGTGAAGGCTTCTGGGAGTTGTGGTCCAAGAACATCTGGAGGCCCAAGGTTGAGGACCACTGCTCTATATGAATGGCCTTGATCACAATGGGCAGTAGAGAATTCCTTGTTAGCCCATACTTCCAGTTACTCAAGTTGAATTCCAGAGAAAGGGGGTGATGGCTCTGGATACATAGGCAAGAGGAAATGACAGACAGGGCCAAAGCTAGTCCAAGATGATCTCCTGAAGGACAAGCTAGCACCCTCTCCCATGTTGATGTACAAAAGCTGATGAGACTGGCAATCAAATCCATCTTTAGTGCTGGTGATGAGATAGCCTCTTTCACTAAACATGGAGGCAGCAGACCAGTTTAGGGGACCCAGGGCCCGCTCCTCTGATGCTGCTGTGTGTTCCCTAACATATTATGCCAGACATGACAACCTCAGTCCTGCTTAACGATACGCCTTAAAAGAGTGGCAGAGAGAACGAGACGTGGATCTTGGAGGTAAAGAATGTTGAGAAAGCGAAGAAGCACATGACGTTTGTTCCTGAAAGCTGTAGCAGGGCAAAGGGACACTAGTTTCCTTGAGGTTTATATAACATATGTAGATATGAACCTGTCCTGACTCAGAACTCCTTTCCTCCCTTACAGGATCATAATCTAACAGCAGGAAATCTTGGCCAGAAAGACAACCTCAAGACAGACTCATTCCCATGACCTTTGGCAAGTTTCTATGAGTCATCCGTCGAATGGGAAGTGATACTGACTCTGTGTAAGCCTAACAGGCTGTTGTTACAGTACAGGAAAAACTCAGGTGTGGAGGCTTACGAGAGCCTCAAAAGTATGTACACTTCTGGGGTTTCCAGCATTCTACAAAACGGAGCAAGTGAAGAGAAGAAGCAAGGAAATCCACAATTTAGCCAGAGAATGCTGCCACGAGATCTACAGTAAAACTCCATCCCAAAATTCATATTGCAGATAAAACAAGCCACTAGTAGCCGCTTTGGTATCAAAACTGAGAAGGTGTCTTAGGAAAGGAAACTGCTGACCAAAAGTCCATGTTCCAAGGCAATCAAACAAAAGATAATAATCACAAAGGTGGCCATACCTTTCTCCTTATACAAACTATTACCAAGAAAGTTCAATGATTAACAAAGAATTAAAAAAAAAACTTATAGAATGTATAAAATGGATTACCTATTAAGCCATTTTTAATGGAGAGAACAAATAGTGCAAAAAATGAGTTTTCTACCTGTCTGAGTTATATACTGGCACTCTTAAGGTCAGGATGCACCAAACACGTTGGATTAGCTAGGATGGGCCCAAGGTGTTTTGCTGCCTGAGGCACAGGTGATCCTCTTTGGTCGAGGCACAGAAGATGCCTGTCCTGGCAGTGGATGGAAACTCTCCCCTTCTCCACCTCAGAGCAGCAGCCTATTTGCGGGGCTCAGAACATGTGTAGCATCATACACTACACTGTCCTTCCAACAGAGCAGAACACCTGCAGAGCCCATATGTCACCTTTGCCCCTTCCCCAAGCATATCCCACCAGCATTGACTCACTCAGCCTAATAGCAGGGCTCACTCAGGATTCAATGGGTCTCCCACACACTGGCCTACCAGGAAGTGTCTATGGAGAACAGAAATTAAGATTTGGATTGTATGATACAGGAATAATTCTGCAGATTTTCAGCTTTATTAGAAGGACCAACAGAGAGGTAAGTCAAGGAATGTGGCAGGAACAGTTTCGAATGCTATTCAGGGCAGCAGATGAGTGTGAGCTAATGAATTTCAAAAGCACAGCTTATATGCAAATAAGAGCCATGCAAGGGTCTTACTGCAAACTCTCCTAGCAGATTGTGACACAGGCCAGTGAGAACATACAGTTTGTTATTTAGCTTTGCTGCCTTAAACTCCGAGATACCCTGGGCCTGCCCTGCAGCCCAGGCAGGTAAGTTTCCTCCACTTCACATTTTCTTTCCAAAACAAACACAGCATGAAATAATCCTAAAGTAACTAAAGTCTAATGGCCTCCAAGACGAAAGAGTCATCAAGTGCTAAACTGAAGGCTTATCTGAACCAGCCTTCTGAGTGCAGGGGAGCCAGTAAAAAAGAATGTATCTGATCGGCTTAAACTATATCCAGTAGCGAAGCATGGATCTGTTCGGACACATATACTTTCTCAAACAGGGATGAACTTCCACGAGTCTGAAATATGTTACTGCTTGTATTCTCCCCATCCCAGGCCAGTTGTCTGACTTGTGTCACAAGGAGGAATAAATATGGCCACTCATTAACTAGCAGCGATGTATACCACACAACATAAAGCTTCTGTAAATAACCCACAGAAGTCTGGTCAATATGTGTATGTCTGGGTGTCCATATTGTGTGTTTTAATTAAGTATTATGAAGGTGAGGAAATAAATAATGATCCCCATCCTGCCCCCAGTGGCATAGCTCCTTTGCCTTTAAGATCAGCAGCAATGCAAGAGGTAAAATTTTCCAAAATGCACTAAACAAGTTGATAGGGGACATATTCTGCTTGTGATCGAATGGTTAAAAATACAAGAGCTCTGTCCCACCCTCCAAAAAGTGGTCATCCGAGATCTCACTCCGATGTGACCAGTTAGCCACCAGTTCACCACGAAGCAGTGTCCAAGCGAAACCTCCACTCACACAAACAAAATCAAAGCAAGGAGCCTCCCTCCCTTTTTTTTAAACTTGAAAACATTACAGCAAGGCTGTGCAACATGCGGCCACCCACAGGCTGCCAAGTCCCACAAAGGAGCGAACCCTGAGCGATCATGGGAACTGCAGCTCAACAACATTTGCAGGACCACACATTCCCCAGGTTTACATGACAAATGCCTACAGAGAAAGTTACGATTTGCATGACAGGTGACAAGCCTGGTCAAGCCCTACCAAGGCTCTGCCTGCCCATCAGCATGAGGAAACTAGCATGCCACCCACGGAAAATACCTTTCAATATGGGCAGGCCATCCCCATACTAACTAGCATGAGTCCAAGACAAGCATGAACCCAGAGAGATTGGAAATCCATTTACTGCATGCTTGCACACATGTTCTCCAGCTGTAAAACCTGAAACTTGTCTTCTGTTGCCTGACTTTAAAGCAGTGAAGCATTTCTCATGTAGGAATCCAAATTCAGGCCTCCTGTGGTTTTCTAATTGATCATGCTGGCCGGATAGCTCAGGTATGTGGCTGTGGAGCCAGAGGTTGGGAGTTCAATTCCCAAGGGTGCCTCCCCATTTTATCCTCAAAACAGCCTTGTAAAGCAGGCCAGGCTGACAGAATAGGCCTTGCCCAGGATCACCAGTGAGTTCCACAGCCAGTGAGGAGCTGTATCCTGGCTTCTTGAGTCCGAACCCAATACTGTCATCATTATACCCCACTGGTTTTCACCCATGCCCACTAACTTTCTGGAAGAAATGCTCACAGGACCATCAGAGGACATCCAGGATTTCTGGGCTTTGAGCAACAGCAAAGAAATTGTACCTGATTTACTTCCTTAAATATCTTAGTGATGCCATTACTTATGAGAGTCCCATCCACTTTTTAAAAGTGAGCACACTAAAACCAAAAAAAGGAAAAAAGGGGGAATGACCGTTCATTCACCATCTTCTAGTAGGCAACCTGATGGTTGCGGGTGTAACTAGCAAATCATGCTGGACTAGGTAGGTCTTGGTCTCTGCCAGCTTGGCCATCCTGAGATTCTTCATCAAAGAACCTGCTTGCATAAGACTTTGTAACCCAGACGCAGCCATGCCTTTGAACGGAATGCAGCATTGTATATATGGGCATGCAATTTTCTGATCACCAATTCAACCTGTTATGATTTCAATGAAATTTTTCTTATTGTTTTATTGCTGGTTTATTAACTTGATTTTCTTGTACCGGGAGTCAACTCGACCGTATTGTGCTTCGTTTCTGGACTGTTGAGACGAAAAATGACACAGACATTTCTTAAGAAAACATTGGTGGACCATGCTTTCAAGGAGACCACAGCAAGCATGAACACACACATACACACACACCCAAAGCCAGCATGAAACCATTTCAATCTGAACTGCACTTTATATTAAAAAAGCAAGACTTGCAATCTCCCCGCTGCAAGGCTCAGGTCACAGGTCAGGGCTGGGAAGGGGGGGGAGACCTGAAACCCCCACCTTTCCCCTATGCCCTAGCCTGGAATTGGAAGATATCCAGCTAGGCTGCTCAATGGTTAACCAACTTGGCCGATTAGGAAGCACAAGCCATGGGGGGAGAAGGGGGGGGGAGAAGGCGGAAGAGCTCTCTGCCCGGGCCCCACTGGGTCTCCTCTCCCTCCTCCCAGATGGCAGCATGAAAGGCAATTGGGGGGGAGGGCAAAGGGGTCCGCACCCCACCAAGATCAGGAGAAAACGCCCCCCCCCGCTTTCTCAGCGCACCTGCTTTGAAAAGGCACCTGCTGGTCTCCATTTTCCAAGGAAGAAACAGAAAGTTGGAAGGGAGGCCGGCAGAGATGGAGGGAGAGCGAGAACGGTTCTCGCAAGGAAGGAAGCCTTCGGAGAACCTCCAGGCCGACCTTTTTGGACCTTGTTGGGCGAGGCCGGGTAGAGTAGCAAGGCCTTCTTGGGTCGAGGGAGGCAGATGGATCTGGAGGAGCGCGCCGGGTGGGGGTGGGGGTGCGGTGGAGAGCATACATTTTTGCTAGGGATCAGAAAAAAGGCTCTTCTCTCCCTTCCCCCCCCCCGCTTCCCGGTCTATAGCAATAAAAGAATCGTCTTTGAAAAGATCGCCCCAAGGAGGTGGCAGAGGATCAAGGAAGAAGCGGCGAACTTACATTCCTCCAGGCGCCTTCGCCTCTCGCGAACAGGTGTCCCAACCAAGAGCCAGGCTTCCTCCGCGGGAGATCCGCGGGGCTCGGGGGACCTCCGACAGGTAATCGCGCACTTCCCTCCAGTCCTACTCTTGTCCCTCGGCCCCCTCAGCGCCGCCGCCGCTGCTTACGGTCCCGGAGCTGATTTTCCTCGGAGCACTCGCCGCCCCACGACAACAACGGCTGTGGTGGCGGCACCGCCTCCTTCTCCTCGGCACGTGACCCACCGAGCAACAGGTACTTTCCTCTTGGCTGCACCTGAGCCAGGTGAGGCGCCACCTCCCGCTTACCTGGCGCAGGCGGCGGCGGCGGAAGAAGGTGGAATGCAGGAAGGGCAAGCCGGGAGTTCCCACGACTCGCCCGTCCAGACCTCGTCTCTTCGTCCCTGCCAGTCTCGACTAAAGTGGCCAAACCGCCCCCCCTTTCTGCAAGAGGAGGGGGGGGGAGACAGGGGAGAGGAGGTCTCAACCCCGAGGAGTTTATGCTCCAGAAGCGCAACAATAGTGCGCGGAGAGGAGGGAAGACCCTGCTGAGATCTACCTGCAGAGTAAAGCCTTTGCGCTCTGTTTTTCAGTCTTTCCGTGTTATGTAGACGGTTTTCCTCATTTCCTACCGCCCTCTACTTTTCCTAGCAGTATTATTTTCTTGTCTTCTCAATACCTGAAATATTTAGTCATTTTAATTTGGTTACTTCCGTTTAGTCATTTGAGCTTCCAGGGAAAGTTCTGGCTAGGTTTGATCTAGAATTCATTTTTGTTTTTCTTTCTGGCCATCCATGGCATCCCTAAAAATGTCCTTTTGCACCACATTTTAAATAAATTGGCGCTTTTTTTGTCAGTTTTCTTCACCGTCCATTTTTTCTCATCCATACATGCTAACAGACAACACTCGTAGATTATCTTGTCCTCCTTCTTCAATGACAGTTCCTTACGCTTAAGGATCTTTTCTAGTTACTTCAGAGCCACCCTTTCAAGTTTCAGCCTTCCAGTTTCTTGACTGCAGTCTCCATTTCGACTGATGACAAAACCATGGTACAGAAAATCTTTAACAACTCTGAACTCCCTGTAGAATTAACACCTCCATTTCCTTACTGGAAATGATTGTCTGGGGTAGTTAGACAGTAATGTGTATTCTGCCACAGCATCTAATTTGACAGAAGGAAGGTATGGGTTGCCTTGAGGTCTGTTGATCACAGAGATAAGTGATATGGAGTAGTTCTAAGTTTCCCGGGTGGGGAGATGCCATGGCTTATAAACTGTAGGTCTATATTAAGTATATCTACTGAGCTTGGTTTCAAAGGGTCAAATAAGTTTAAAAAAATGGCAGCTAGTACATAGTTTCAAAGCTATCCACAAGAATGCAGAGATGGCAAAATTCCAGAACTGTGACCTGTTGATAATCATATTTGGAGTTTGTACAGTATAAAGAGGGTGAAATATTTTCAATACTTCCAGCACTTTCTCAGATCTATACGCAGTGGTGTAGTGAAGTCAGGGCTCTGAGGGGTCGGATCACTGAGACTTTTTGACTGGCTGTGTTTATGGAATCAGTTGCCATGCACTCACCTTAACGTCCCTTGTAACCTCATAACCTGGGCACTATATTATGGCATAGGGAAACAGGAGGGATTGAGTCGTCCCCCCCCTCACAAGTAACAGTATATTGTTCTGAGCTAGCTCTGATATCGTGCAAAGTATTTTGCAGAGGCTTGGTCCTGAATGGACAAGAAAGACCTGTTAGCTTTACAAAAGACCTGTTCTTGGTAGAGAAGGAAACTGCAAACTAGCACACACTTGGATGCATATGTAGAGCACACAGAGAGAAAGAGATACAAGTGAACATGGCAGCCTGAATATTTGGACTTGAAGGCACAGCAACTACAACCGTCACATAAGCATCATCTGCACTTCAAAATTACCCATAGCACCACTGACCTGACAACATCCCTCAGAAGCAGGTTTGGCCATATTACCTCCATATTGCAGGAGGGGTAAGGCGAGGCTGTATTCTCCCCCCTTCTCCTCCCATGTAGCTGTATTTCTTAAACAAGGGATGGTATTTCAGGCACGTACTTCTATTTTGCACTGTCCCTGCAGCCTGATCCTCTAAAGTCAGTGGTTCCTAACCTTGGGTAACCTAGGCATTCTTGGACTGCAGTTCCCAGAAGCCTTCACCACCAGCTGTGCTGTTCAGGGTTTCTGGGAGTTGCAGTCCGAGAACACGTGGGGTACCCAAGGCTGGGAACCGCTGCTCTAAATGCTACTTGAAAATAAGTCTCCTTGAGTTTGATGGGATGTCTCCCAATAAGCATGCACAGGAAGCTGTGTCAGCTCTTACGTTAAAATTACTCTTGAACTCCTATTGTTCAGAATGCTGAGGGAACAGGAGCTTTGCCAGGAGGAAAGTTGGCATCTCTAACCCTTTTGTATATGTGGAACGTCCCCCTAGAATCTAACACTCAGACGACATTTCCTCACATCCATGCCACAGATGATACTGGGAGGGGGCAGTTTTCAGGACAAGCAGCACAAAGACGATGTGAGGTCTGCTTCAGAAGGATGTCCTTCTCTTCTGGGAACCACTGAGGAAATGTGCGGAAAGCTACCTTTATCTGGGTCATTTTACTGTGAAAAATAGAGACACGTGGTCAGGGGGGAAAATTAGTGGTGGCTGACTCTAAAAAGCATGTTTTTGTGAACATTACTGCCTGTGGAATTCAAGAACAGCCAGGCAGGATCACACCAAAGGCTGATGGAGTTTAGCGTTCTGTTCTTACAGTAGCTCATAAGCAAGACATCAGGGTGACAGCAGCCCTCCCCCCCCCTCAAGCCACTGCTATTCAGAAGCATGCTGCCTTGGAGGATTAAAGGTAGTGGGTAGCCATTATGACTACTTGATACTAAGCCTTAAGGGTAGCCTCTTCCTCCATACAGGAAGGTTCTTAGCTGCCAGCCACATCAGGGGAGAGATGCTGTTTCCTGCTAGTAATTATAAAGAGACTTCCCATTTATCTCCTGGTGCGGCTGTTGCACCTGTTAAACAGGTAAATGACATCAAAAGAAGTTTTTTTCACACATGCAAATGCACCAGCAATGTATTTCTGTCCTGGGGGGGTGGGGTTTGGGATGAGCTGACAGTGACATCACCCCCCAGGTGTGGCGTTTGCTCAGTTTTGCCTCATTTCCCTCCAGCCATGTCTTCCATTTTTAGATCAAAGAATTTCTGTGTCCTTTACTGAGAACTCCAACACTCCAAATTGGCATATCTTCGTTTCTCAGGCTGCTGTTGTATACTGTATTCTGAATAAATGCCATTAAACTGACTGAGACATGTTTCTGAGTTAAAATACTTAGGAACTGCCTGAACATGGGGAATGAAAAAAAGCCCTTGTAATAACCAAACATTCAACCTCATAATACTAGGGACAAAATTCAGTTTTCCAAGAGACTCTGTCTCTGGTTTCCAGGTAGCCATGCTTGAACACATCAGCCAGAATTCAAGTGAATAAGACTTTGTAAGAGTATTAGCTTTCATACAGAGCAAAGTATAGCTGCTAACTAATGAGTTTCCAGTCCAGTTCCTAGTAATAGGCCAAGTCATGCAACTGACACACTAATAGGAGGATTCACTAATGGGTTACTATTTGCCACTCCTGGTTATGGAGGAATAACTATTCGGTCAATGACACATAACAACAGTAAATGAAGTAATGGCTTTTGAAAGTTCCTGTCATTAAGTAATGGGCTCAGGATCCTGTGGCTTCCTTTTTTGAGTCATGCCATGTCGTGTTAAGCTTATTTATTCCTTTCCTTTCTATGCCACCTTTCTCCCCGAAATAGGACCCAGGGCAGCTTACAGAACAGTTTAAAATGATAGAAGATTAAGATATTATGCCTGAAATTGTGCTGGTGGAACTTTACTTAGGCAAGGCTGATGGCATCAGCAGCCAGGCCTTTTATTGCTAATTAAAAGTTTCTGATTCCATCTCTCTAGTTCTGAGACTCCCTAGGGATGCCTTTCATCCTGAAAGAAGGTGGGTTGGAGCTGCTGGTAGTGATCTTCTGACTGCCCACCCAGTCCCCATCGGTTTTCTGAGGATGGAAGAGATGCCTAGGGAGCCTCAGAATAATGGATAGGGAGTCGGAAACTTTTAATCGGTGATAAAAGGCAGCGGCTGATAATATCATCAGCCTTACATGTGCAGAGCTGCAACAACAGGGTGTCAGCCATTAAAATCACAAATGGTAAAACAGAATTAAATTCAATTATATGATTAACATGCTATTAAAATTAAAAAAAAATTATTTGAAAGCAATTAAATATAGTAGTAATGATTTAACTTAAAACAGTGAGAATGAGAACACCAGCTGAGACTGCATAGCCGAAGGCCTGCTTAAATAGAAATGGTCTCCTTCTGCAGCCTGAAGAATAGGGAGGGAGCAAAACTCAGGAGGATCAGGGCCTGGGGGAGGCCACAGAGAAGGCTGTCTCTCAAGTCTTTTATCAGCTGTGCCTCTGAAGGTGATGGGACTGGGAAAAGGGTCTCCTCTGCAGCTCTTAAAGCCTGGGCAGGCTTGTATGGGAGGACATGGTATTTCATGTAAGGTCGTTTCCTCTTTTCTTCTTTTTTTACTGCCTTCAGTTTTTCCAAAAACGCTTGTATTTTGCAGTGAGGTATTGCTCCCCCTAGTGGGGAAAAACTGCATGCTACATCACCTCAGAGTAGGTTTACTGCAATAAGGGGAATAAAAAGGGGAAGGAGTTAAGAAGCAGCAACAGAAACCAATGGAACCTTCTGTCCATTTTTCTCAGAATGATGACTTGTAAAGTTTCTTGCAGTAAATCCTCATAAACTGAATTACTCTTCTCTTCGTCTTCTGTGGGTCAGAGAGGGAATCCCACCATTTTCTTTTCCTTCCAGCAGGCATGGTTAGGTTACTAGCAAAGCTTGCAAGTGATTTGTGAAGCCTGCCTTTTCCACCTTGCGACTGAGTTTAACTTCATACATCCACAACTGAAACATCAAGCCAATTTTTTTTTTGATTTCTGTACTTCTTTGCTCCTCCCTATTTGACCCCCCCAACACCTAGCCCCACCAGATGTCCTGGGGAATTCAAAAGCTTGCATGCTGCTGTGGAATGTAATTAGTGGGCCTAATTGTGGGCCTAATAAAGGTGTTGCCCAGCTGTGGATTTTGTTTTTTGTTTTTTTCATGGCTAAATATGGCTGCCTTTGTTTTACTTCCACATCTAACTGGTGTTTATGTAGAGAGGAAGACTGACCTGTTTTGCCTATGGGAATGACAAGGGGAGGAGGGCATTGTTTCCAAATGATGGTGTCTCTGAATGCATGAAGAGAGATGCCAGTGAATGGGCTGTTGATGTTATGTGGTCATGTCTTAGGACTGCTTAAGTAATTATGAGATCAGAGCTAGAAGTGAGAAGAAAGAACTGCTCTCTCACACAATCTGGGATTTAAGGTGGTTGTTCTTACTCCGGTTGAATTCCTTGACCTGCGTATGCACCTGGATCGGAATTCCCATAAGCTTCTTATACCCAGAGAAAGTAACTGGCCCAAAAGATACTTTCAGACTAGGCTTTTGCTGGCACAGAGGAAATGCCCGTTTGCTTGCTCTGAAAGTAGTATGTCTTTCCAGTTTCCACTGTGATCCTAATCATAGGGAGAGACAGAGAGCAGATTTATATATGCATATACACTACACTAAGGAGATAAAGCAGTTGTAGTACCCAAGAGCATTTTGGTGCCTCCAGCAGAAAATCTAAACAACACCCTGTCCCATCCTTTCTAGTCTTTTTTTTTAAAAACGATGCAAAATGTGTAGTTGAAGAGGGAAGACACGGGAAAGCTGATAAATGTTTGATAACATAAACTGGTTAAAACACTTAATACATGGGAGACAGGACATCAGGATAGACATATATAACAGCATGATCATGAAGAACCCCTTTCAGAACCTTCTGATGACTGATGATGGTGCATCTTTTAAAAAAACACTTTGTTTGAGAGGTACCGGTTTTGGTTGCACAAAGTTAATGATACAGCAGAAACAGACAGAAACCATTGTTTATTGAACTAAGACAAATTCCTAAATAAATAGGCAACATAGGCAGCTACTGATTGGAGTGGTGAAGCTCTCCCCAAATTTGGGTGTGGGAATCAGTCTTAAAAAGTCAATATGTGTTTTATCTTCCAATAACCAAGCGTAAAACAGTGCATGCTAAATGCAAGATATAGAGGTACAGAAAATCCGTGTCTCCCAAATCCATGTGTATCCCGCCTAATAGCTACAGCACGCTGTGTTAAGAATTTAGGTATTAGCCTATTCTACAAGGCTACACAGTCACCATGCATGAACCAAGAATGAACCTGTTTCACACAGAACGTTGTCTTTCACCAAGTCACACCACTGGTTTGCCTACCTCAGCATGGTCTACGTTGTCTAGTGATACTGAACAGGAGTTTTTCCCAGCTGTGGCTGGTATAGCTGAAGGCTGAATATAGGTCATTTTGTGTGTGTAAAGATATGTGCTCAGCCACTGGGCTACAGACCTCTGCTAACTCTCTACTAAAGCTTCTCATTGCAAGAGAAGGTCAGCAGTTCCTTTCAGAGCGGCATGTCCCTCAGCAGGCACTCAGAACTATTGTTACACGTGAACATCCAGCCCACCATTTTATTACATCTGTCATGGTTCATCTCTTCACAGTGGGTGCTGAAATGTTAGGAGGAATTTAATCAGATCTGTAGTCATTAATTTCAGAGCTAGACACCTAGCAAAAAGAAAGGTCACATGCCTTTTAAAAAATATTATCAAGATGCCAGACACATACAAATTCGTACATTGTTCAAGATCTAATACAAACTAAGCACCACATTGGGGTGGGGGAAGAGAGATCATAGCTGCAAGCTGGACTGCTACAGATCC